TACCCCCGCAGTCCACGCCCCTGTTGCAGGCGAAGTGGGTGAGGTTGCAGAAGATGCACTCGATCCACAGCACCTCCATCCGCCCTGGCGGCGATTTTGGGGGGTCTTGGGGTCACCTGGGGAGTCCGGACCCCCCAGATCCCCCCAACCCCCCCCGAGCCCGCTTACCGCATTCATTGGGGCAATAAACTGCAAAAAACAAGGGGAAAACTGGGTTAAAAAGGAGGATTTTGGGGGGTGGGATTGGGTTTTGGGGGTTCCAGATGAGTTGGGGGGGTCCCAGAGGGGTTTTGGGGGTTCTGAGTGGGTTTGGGGGGTCTCAGGAGGTATTTTGGGGGTCCCAAAGGCGTTGTAGGGGGTCCCAGGGAGGATTTTAAGGATTCCCAGGGGGATTTGGGGGAGATTTGGGTAGGGGTTCCAAGGGCGAACTTCGGGAGGGATTTTGGGTGTCCCGAGGGGGATTTTGGGGGGTCTCGGGGGGGATTTTGGGGGTCCCGCAGCCCACCCTGGCTCTGGAATCGCCTCATCAGCCGCTCGAAGTCCTCCTTGATCTCGCGCATGGCCCAGAGCAGCTCCTGGTAGATCTGATTGTCTGTGGGGGATTTGGGGCGTTTTGGGGCGTTTTGGCTATTGGGGGAGGGTCCCCCCGAGGCGAACCCCCCCGCCGGGATCAGCAATTAATACCCCAAATAATGGCACTGGGCTCTGGGGTTAATGAGACCCAAAAAAATGAGATTAAAAAAAAAAAATCACAAAAATTAACCCCAAAAATCTCAGTAAGTGACCCCAAAAATCCCAAATTTGGGGTCACTGTGGGAGGGCTTTGAGTGACCCAATGAAGCTGCAATTAAGGCCATTAAGCTCCAGAATTAACGACCCAATAAATCCCAATTAAAAAAAAAAAAATTAAGCCCAAATAAAGCCCCAAAAATGACCCAAATTAAAGCCCAGTAAATGACACGATTAAAACCCAATAAAAAACCAATGAAACCCCAAGAAATCCCCAAGAATCACCCACATTAA